CCCAAAATTCGCCAAAGCCCTCCCACAGCCCCCCTTGCAGCGCTGCCACTGCCTGCCCTAAGCACAGCTCGGCCCAAACCACCCCCCACCCTGCACTGGGAACAACGCGGAACAGTCCCGGTCCAACCTACAGCTGTAGCCCACCCTGCCCTGCCCTGTGCAGATCCAGGGGCACATGCCCCCTGTGCCCTCTCAGGGTGTGCGCAGCAGTAGGAGCCACTCCCCCTTCCTCGTGCCCTCCAGACGAGCCGCAGCTCTGTTCACTGCCACAACCCGGCTGGGCAGTGCCTGCTCTAGCCCCTGCCCCACTCCCGCCGTCACTGGACCTTGATCTGCCCCTCCATGCCCTTCCCCCTCCCCTTCCACCACAACAGACTAACCAGCTGCACGCAGTTCTCTACGCTCTCGGGCTGTGCTTCTCTCCGCCTGTGTGCTGCACTGTGGCTGCACACATGCACGGGGCATTTATCAGCCACACCAGGCCAATTTCTGACAGTCAATTTTTTTTATATTGGTACTGATCCGATATCGGACCAATGTATCGGTGTGCCTCTATTTTACAGTGTGCTGCTAAGTGAGTTGCAGACAAAGCCATAGGAGGCTGCAGGTAATTCATTAGCATTTGAAGAGTGTGCTCTCTGCCAGTGGCTGGTCAGCAGCTGCTCCTCCTGGCTGACTTATTCTTTCCTCTTTCCTTTCTTTTATCCACAAACCACTGCAGCTACATGCTCATGGATGATCCTGGGGTAGTAGCTTTATTATTGACAATTGGCTATGTCATTGTCATTAAGTATTGCTTTGAATGTTGACCATTGGCTTTTTGGTTTTAAGTTATAGCAAAACGTTTGGTCCCTGAAGTGGACTATAACCAGTGCTTTGCCAAACTGGGGGTAGTGTTTCATGGAGGCAGTAGGCAAAATGGCTGCAGAGAGGAGGAAAGCAATGGGGAATGGGGCAGCAGTTTCTCATGTACTTTACATTTCTGCAGTGCTTTCAACCTGAGGATCTTCAGGCATTGTGTGCCTGATTCAGTTTTACAGCCGCCTGATCAGGTAGATGGGTTTGAGCTCCCACAGCAGCCTTAGGGGAATGATAGTCCTGTTCTATATCATTAGATACTCTTATGAGCTATGACTTAGAGCAGTGGGGGCCAGCCTTCTCCACAGGCATGCTACAAATTAGCCCCACACATTCCCTGAGTAATACTGTGATTCCCTTTCCTATCTGATCTCCTGCTTTGCTGTCTGTTTCCTGCTCTATCTACTGCTGTGCTGCCTACCCCCTCTGATCTACCATTTGCCACACAGAGTCTTCACTTGTTCTTGTGCCTTAGGTTGCCCACCCTTGGCCTACAGCAGTTTCTCAACCTGTGGTATGTGTACCCCTGGGGGTATGCAGGTATCCCAACACTCTCTCCCTCTCTCTGTCTCTCTCTCACCCTCTTCTCAAAACTATGGCAGAAAAATTGGTGGGCCACACATTGCATGGCACTTTACATTCCCCAGTAATAATTTGGCGTTCAGCCCTCCTAGCTTTGGCCAACATCACCTCTAGACCAGGTACATACTTGAGTTGTGCACCCCTGGTGTAAAAGGTGGCAACCCTACCCACACCAGATCAGACATCTGTCATATCACGGCTTTATATATACAACCCTTCTTCCAACATATGGCATACATTAGTCTGTAAATATAAAATCCCCTGGAAAATTGAGTGTTGGGGTAGTTATTAAAATTTTCAGAAGTTAAGGGGTACTTGCTACTTAAAAGGTGGAGAAACACTCGCCTAGAGGACCCTGTTAGAATGGGGTCCATTATGTTAGTTGCTCTGCAGACTTATCTGAAGACTGGTCTTTGTTCTAAGGAATACATGAGCTAAGACAAGAAACATCTGCAGTTTTGTGGGAAAGAAAATAGCAGCCCTTCTATAGATACTGGATGCAGATATCAGTTAGCAAGATCAATATCGATAAGCTTTTTCGAATAATCAGAACTATGAAAACTGACAACTATTTTCCATGTGCCTTTCATCCTGGCCAGTTAGCTGTGTCTTAAAGGCACTTTGCTGCCAGAAGAGCCTGAGGAAGGATTTGAAAGTGCTAGGTAATAGCTTTCGCCTCTGGGAAAAGGCATGAAAATCTCAGCATGAAAAGGTGGCTGATGGATACTTGAGGAAGCTAGTAAGGTGAGATACTGGGGTGGGGGGAGAGTTGTGAATGGCTTTAGAGAGAACAATAAAGCTGTGTTTAAAGTGAAATGGAGCCCACTGGAGGGTTTCAGTATGGCAAGTGATGCATTTGCCCTAGGCAAAAAGGAATCTTAGTGGATGGAGTTGCTGAAACTGAGAAGCTGAGCACTTGGGTATGATCACACTCATTGTCTCTGTAATGTTGCCTTATTGGTGCATTTATCCTTTTGATGATATCTATTCCGGGTTTTGTTGCAAGGCAATTAGGGGATTAAACTTCTGTATATACTCCCCTATGCTCCATGCAGAGCATGAAGGAACCACAGAACAGCTGGTAGGATCCAGTAGAATCCTTGAAATCACGAATTTGCCATTTAGCTTGGGAGTCCCCCAGCTCTGTCTGAATTGCTGCTCTAGGTTTTATGCCCCCTTAGATGTCCCCTCTCTCATCTTCTGCTCCATTCTCTCTGCTCTGCAAGAGAATCAGGAATGCTTAGCCTTGGAAATACGTTTCCAAGTCAATCCAGAGCATAGTTCAGTGCTTAGAATTAGTCTTCTTCAAAGCTCAGAGCATGGAGCTGATTGCGGCTGTGCGTGGCCTTTCAGAGCAGTGGCTGTTCTGAAGCTGCTGTCCTACTTCTGCTTAATATCACTGTAGGCAGTGCGGGAGCTGGATGTGCGTCAGCCCAATTAAAACACTGGGAGCTGATGACATGGTAGGGAACCGGTGGCCTTAGGGCTGCAGACCTGAGCACTCTCGGGGTTCTGCAGCACTTGCTTTCTGCCGGTGATATCACAGAGCTACGCTAACATTTCCCCTTTAAATTATTTATGCCACGTAGCTTTTTTTTATAAGCACATCATGCTGTATCTTGCTGTGAATATTTCATGTGGGTGCTTGGAAGAATTTTCTCCTGGCTGAATTCAGCATCTAAGCTGTGCCTGATCTTTGCTAGCGTGGGGCAAAATAGACAGTTGGTGAGTGGGATGGGATTCAGAGGCAGCCCTATCAATTAAAACTTTGCCAGCGTACCTGTGTCTGGGCACCAGGCTGGAGTTCTGTAGAGCGAGAAGGGAGGAAACAGGCCCTAGGAGCTGTGTGTGTTTGAGCAAGAAGTTACAAAAATGCTTTTGTTTTTGGTAGCTGGAGGTAGTGACGTCCAGTCCTGAGACAGGGCTACTGCTGAGCCTGGAACACAGCAGACATCTGGAAGTGGGTTAGAGACGGTCCATGGTGTGTCAGGTCAGAGAGCCCTAGTAACTTGCAACATAGAGCTGCAAAGGAAAATTGCAGTTATTATTTTCCAGCTGTTTTTGTTCATTTTCTTAATTATTGGAACTTCTGATTATTTGTTTTCTTGGATTTGGGGGGGGATCTGGATTGATGGCTTGAGACATGAAGGGCACGTAGAGCTTTTCAGCTGTAGGTTACTTGGTCCTAGGCCAGATCATGACCATCTAATGGCTTGAAAAGTAATGTTTCTTGGTGTAGATGTGGAAGAGAGAGTCCAGTGCACCGTTATGTGTGCTATTGAGCAGCTCTTATATGACACATAAGAGGAATCTCAGTGGCCTTTTATAGCACATGTAAAACATTTTGGACCCTCTGAATAAACAGCAGGAATAAGGACACAGTACTGCTGGGCATGTGGGACTTCACAAAAATGCCTCACAGGAGGAGAAACAGTAGAATATTTTGGGATTTATTTATTTATTTAATAATGTTTCTCGTCTTATAAAAATAT